ATATATATATACCCACTCACATGCACACACATCATACACATGGATATACACACAAAATTAAGTCACTCACTCACTCAACCAACCAACCAACCAACCAATCAATCAATAACGTAATTTCCAAAAGGACTGGAACCTGGCCATCAGATCTCTTCCTTCTTCCCACTCTCAGCATGAAAACTGACCCAGAGAATTTATGATTGACTCAGCGGGTACAGGCAATTGCTGTCAAGGCCGAAGATCCCAAGTCCTGGGATCCATAAGGAAAAAAGAGAGAACTTACCTCCCACAAGTCCTCTGACTTCTACACGCACACTCCACTCTGCCACCCCATAACTAAAGCCAAGCTAACACTACTACTACTAATCCAACATAATTGTACAGATTCTGCCTTTTTATTTCTCTGAATTTATATGCTGTTGCTTCAGCCATTCTCCTTGCTCCGTGCCTTCCTGTTTTCCTGCCTCTTCTAAAGCAATCTCTTTAGCGTGCAGACAGAACTCTGCCCGCTAGTGGCTTTCAGTTATCTTTCAAGACATAAGAACACATAAGCCAGGAGTTACTGGCCATCTAAGTGGTCTTTTCTGGTACTTCTGCCTTGCAGGGATGCTGCACGCCTACTCCCTCTGGCCTCTGAGCCCACTCTGTTAAAATTTCCCTTCCATTGGCCACTGTTGCTTGAATCCTGTGAATCCACCAGGCATCAGCTTAGACCTCTCCTTGCTTCCCGAGACTACCCATGTCTGGGGTCGCTGGTGACCAATGCACACCCCACCACAGCTCCACTATTTAGTGCCCACTGGGCTGTAAGCTCTCTGAGAGCCAAACATTACAGCTGGGTCTCCTGAAGTTGTACGGTGTGTGACTTGCTTAGTATTAAGCGCTAGCCCTGTGCAACACTTAGATCTGGCACAAGTAGATAACTAAATATATTTGTCTGACTATGCCATTTGTTCATTCATTCATTCATTCATTCATTCATTCATTCAGGGTTTTGAAGCAGAGTCTCGCAATAGAGCTAGGCTGCCCCAAAGCTTGCAATCCTCTGGGCTCAGCCTCCAGGGTCCTAGAAGTATAGGAGGGTATCGCCACACCTGGCCAGCACGTTATTTGAGGTAGTGGAACCCCTTTAGTTCTTGCCTCTTTGCACTTCTGGAGCTGTGTGGCCACTTGCACACAGTCTACCAAGAGGGAAAAGAGACACATTTTGTATTTCTTCAATGTTGGAGAACTGAATGGGAGCCCTGAATGCCATCAGGATGATTCTGGAATAGCCTGGTGGGGTGGCAGTCCTCAGACTAACGGTGGCACTGTCTGTTGTTCAGGGGAAAAGAACTAAAGAATCATAGTGTTACATACAAGACAGGGATTCAGAAGCAAAACTTCTGTCTGTCTGTCTGTCTGTCTGTCTCTACCGCCTGCTCTTAGGGACTGTAAATTCTGTGAAGTTACTTGTTTGTGTATTAATGACCCTGAAGTCAGTCCTGGGCTTTCTGACTCTGTCTGATCCTCTGCTCACAGTAAAAGCAGAATTCACAGAATTCTTGCTCCCTGAGGCCTACAGATGAGTCTCTGGGTCACTGAAACCCACAGTTGTTTCCTGGAATGAGCTCCCTTCTCCGTTTCTCTTGAAAGGATTTGATCTCTCCATACTGTCTTGTTCATTTTTTCTCACTGTAATTCACAAGACTTGGCAGTTCACAAAGAAACCAAATTTATTCTCTGCCTGAGAGCAAGAAGAAACAGAGAGGGAACAAAGGAGGGGGTGATCTGTTTTAACCATTTGTTTCCCAAAAACTCATCCATTGATGAGAAAATTAATCAAGGCTTACAAAAGTTACTGCAGTCTCTCTTAAAGGTCCCACATCTAGCTTGAGTTCTGGTAGAAACAGACCCCCCCTCCACAACACAGTTCCGATGGGAGCAGACCCCCCCACATCACAGTTCCAGTGGGAACAGACCCCTCCACAGCACAGTTCTGGTGGGAACAGATCCCTCCACAGCACAGTTCCGGTGGGAACAGACCCCTCCACAGCACAGTTGCAGGCTTATTCTCCTTTAACAGCCCTTGTTCCTGTACATTATGGACATTGTGGACCTGGAACTCTCATAGTAATTTATTTATTGCTGCTGCTACTCCTTTCTTCTCTTCCTCCTTCTCTTTCTTCTTCCTCCTTCTTTTCTTCTTCTAAGGACACTCATGACCTTTTTCATTAGGATTGGTGATATTAATCTGTCCTTTCTCCAGCTTGGTCAGAGTGATTGAAAGGAAGGTCTGCTTCCATGTCTTCTCTTTATCCAGCCCAGAGCCAAATGCAGAGCCAAACCATGAAATGCTTTTTAAAGTCATTAAATATTCTGTATGTGTATGTGAGGGCATACATGACTCTGTGTGTGTGCATGTGTGCGCGTGCGCTGAGGCCAGAGGTTTACTTTGAATGTCTTCCATTTTACACTTTGTTTTTAAAGACAGGCTCTCTCCTTGAACCTGGGGCTTACAGATTCAGTAAGTCTGGCTGGCCAGTGAACTTCAGGGATCCTTCTGTCTCTGCATCCCCAGAGCTGGATTTCTGGCACATGCCACCATACCAACATTTTACAGGATGTTGAGCATGAACCTCACAGCTTCATGCGCGGATGGCAAGCACTTTACCCAGGACCAATCTACCCAGCATACTGGATCCATAATGACTTGGAAAGTATCCTGTCTGCCAACTCTGTTCTGGAGTTTGGCAATGAGTGGGTCAAAGAACCTGGCCCTGTGGAGCTCAAAATGCAGAAGATCTTCTGGGCATGACACCACTCTGTAAATGCCTCTGTAGGTATAGACAGTGTGCTTGGACCTGAATGATGCCACTTTCTCCAAAAAGCCTCCTGATCACCTGTGGAGGCAAAACTGTCTTTGAGGAGTAGAGCAACTTACCTGTGCCCTCCAAATATTGACAAGGTGCAGTTTCTAGAATGCTGTAGGAGCTGGCTATGAATGGGTGAAGTAAGATTTTAATTCCTGGAGAGGGAAGTGGTCTGACAGAGCCAGAGTAATCATTACTCTTTCACAATTTGAACTCCAGGACCAGTTTCCAGAGCTCTCTAGTGAGAATGCTTGGATTTTAGCGGCAGGTAGAGGTCTGACAAGAAGCAATCGGACTCCAGGATGACCGATTTTGGCAGAAGCCCTTGACTTCAGTAGGCTTTGTTCAGACTTGTCTTTATTCTTTTCTTTTCCTTTCCTTTCTTTTCCTTTCTTATCTTTGTGGGTACAATGAACTTTATTGATGGTATTCAAGAGAATAGGGCTCCCTAAGCCCCTCCTATTATTCTGGGGGTCTGTGATGGAAACTGTGAGGGGGCTGAGTTGTGACAGGGACTGCTCAGCAGGTGAGAGCCTCTCTCTTGCTCTCATCTCCTTGCCGGGGTGGGTTGTCCAGGGCTTCTTATTCCTTGAAGCCCATGTAGGCCATGAGGTCCACCACCCTGTTGCTGTAGCTGAATTTGTTGTCATACCACGAAATGAGCTTTACAAAGTTGTCATTGAGAGCAATGCCAGCCCCAGCATCAAAGTGGAAAAGTGGCCATCACTGTAGAAGTCACAGGGGACAACCTGGTCCTCATTGTAGCCCAGGATACCCTTTTGTGAGTCTTGCAGAGATGATGTCCTGGGTAGCCCCATAAAGCCACAACATCCCAGAGGGGTCATCTAGTCTTCTGGGTGGCAGTAATGGCATAGATTGTTTGTCCACAATGACAAAAATGTTATGGATGACCTTGGCCAAGGTGGCTAAGCGGTTGGTGGCAGGAAGCATTGCTGACAATCTTGAGGGAGTTGTCATACCTCTCATGGTTCACACTTATCACAATCGTGGGGGCATCAGCAGAAGGGGTGGAGATGATGACCCTTTTGGCTCCGTCCTTCAGTTGGGTCCTATCCTTCTCCATGGTGGTGAAGATACCAGTATACTTTACAAACTACTTAGCACCAGCAGCACCACATTTGATGTTGGCGGGGATTCCACTCTTGGAAGAAGGCAATGGATGGTCTTCCCGTTGATGTCAAGTTTCCCATTCTTAGCCTTGCCTGTGCCATTGAACTTGCCATGGGTCGAGTCATATTAGAATATGTAGACCTTGTTGTTAAGGTCAATGAAGGGGTCATTGATGGTAAAAATATCCATTTTACCAGACATAAAGGCAGCCTTGGTAACCAGAAGCCCAGCACGGCCATATCTGTTCACTCTGATCTTCACCATCCTGTCTCAGGAGCAAGGCTGGCACTGCATAATAAGATGAGGCTGTCTCTGAAGCAGAGAGGAGAGAGTCATGCTTCATTTTCTTAACCCCAAATGTATCTTATGGGTTTTAGGATACATACACACACACTTTCACACACACACATACACACACACACATTCACACAGAGACATGAACACACATACACAGAAACACACATACAGATGGACATGCACATACACACAAACACACAAATAATCCGCATGCATACATACATACATATATACACAGACATGCATAGACACAGAGACACATACACACACACATACACAGATACATACATACACAGACATGCACATACACACACACACAAAGATACACAGAAGCACACACAGTCAGACACAGACACACCACACACACATACAGACACACACATGCACACACAGACACAGTAGCTTTCTCAAGCCTACTTGGCTGTGTCAAAGCCCCACTGAGGGACGTGGAAAGCAGAATGCTGGGGAGAGGATAGTGTCTTGGAGTTTTATAGCCCATGGAGTGTCAGTTATAAAAAGACCCTTGTACCCCCACAATCTGGGGGCTGGGCATGCTTTGCCATTCCTACAGAAGCCAAGCCTCCTGTAGTCTATGGTGTTGTGGGTGGTCAGCTTTCAGGAAATGGTGGAATTCCAAGTAAGTTGTGTACAGCGCTGTCTGTGTTTTCCCAGTGTACAGCTTGGGCTGTGGGTCAAGACCAGCCATACTGTTCTCTTTCCCAGTGCGTAGATCCAAGGCGGCTGATGAAGAGAGGAGCCGTCGTGCCCAGCGAGCCCGGGATGAGTACCGGCGCCACTCACTCCGAGCCATCCAGAAGGGCACAGTCGCAGGCCTAAGCACCATGTTTCAAGAACTTGGTCAGAACCATGAGCAGGAGGCAAGACTCTGCCATCAACTTCCATGCACCAGTCAATCATCGCCCCTTACAGGAACTGACAGGTGTGTTGGGATGGGCCGTGGACCCATGCAGCAAGCTCCATGGGTTCTGGTCCAGGCTCCCTTTCTTACTTGTTTATCATTTGCCCTTCCTGGGCCTTAGTGTTCCAATCTATGTAATGGGACAGAACACAGAAATAGGGTGGGACCTTTCTAACAACTTTGCTGTTCTGGGGTTAGTCTTTCAGTGGTTAAGGATTCTCATAATCTTTGATAATCTGAAGAAAATTATACATCCTATTCCCCTCATAATCTGCATATCCAGATATTTCAAATGTTTTCATAGTTAGATTCCTTGGTCTTGGCCAAAACCTTGCAATGAAAGGCCTAAGATGGGATAAATATAGCCCAGTAGCTGGGAAGCAAGGTTACAGCTTTTTCTAATTCTGGATGGAGCTGCTTTGCTCTTTGTTTGAACAGCGGGTTTGCAGATTAGTGTGGGCACATTTGTGTCCATAGAGGGGTTGTTTGCCAAGGATACTTAAGCAACAACCTTTGATTGACAAGTCAAAGGCACAGGGTTACCTGAAGCCTCTGCACGTTCTGTCTGTCTGTCTGGACTGACCCAGAGATTGGCTCTTATCTCAGGGCCCCTCAGCAATCCTGGCAGCACAATTTTCTTCCCTGGGGTGGGGAGCTATGGGCTTGAGCACCTGTGGCTCCCTCATCTCCAGGGATTGTTCAAGAGTCAGTTTACCCTTCAGATAGTGTGCTTTATCCAATTTTGTACTGATTTGAGTTTGGGGTTGTTGGTGACCTCCCACTCCTCTTGCCTAGAGTCTAATAAGAGCTGCCTCTGGCTTCACATTTCTCCTCCCCCTTCCCCCGTTCCCCCTTCTTTCCTCATGATGTACTAGAAGGCCTGAGAAGAGATAGTGTTCATAGAGAACTCTGATTCCTCCCTGGTGTACCATCTCACAGCACCTTCGTAGACATTTGTTGTTCTTCTCTTCTTACCTTACCATACCCCAAGCCCTGGGCTTCTTTGAGTTCTGGCCAACATTAAAAAACAAAACAAAACAAAAAGCAAACAAACCCATACCACCTTATTTCTCCTCTTTTTTTTTTTTTAAAAAAAAAACTGTCTGGGTTCTGCTGTGTGGATTTGCTATTAGTTAACAGAGACTCTGTCAGTGGGCATTGCTATTTAAAATTTTCTGCAGTCACTAACCAGGCCCTGCGTGTATAATCTTGAGGAAGTTAATTTTATATTGGGAAGCCAAAATCTGCAAAGATATCATCCCAAGTAGGGTCATTGTTCACAGGCTGTGTACTTTTGAAATTCACTGGTCCTGCACAGGCTGTGACCCATGTTTAGATCTTCACATCCTTTAGCCTGACCCACGGTGCTGCCAGCCTTGTTTCATGTAAGGAAACATGTCTTGAAGTAAGTTTAAATACTCACACATGACTATGGAGCAGACTAAGCATTTCACATATGATGAAAGACCACGGTATTTTCTTCTCTTCTGCTGTCCAGTCCACCCTTTCGCTGTGTGATCCGTGTCCCCTTTACCAGTCTCTAGGAACTCCCCAAGTTAGGGGAAACTTATGGCAAAATCCATTTCTCAGTTTGTCACTTATTTGATTTTTTGAGGTGGAGTTTTCTAGGGTGCAGAAATGATTGATATTTATGAGCTAAAACTCCTATGTGCTTTCCAAATCTGGGAATATAGTCAGAAATGACTCCCCTTCTATGCTTTGAAAACTTATTTATTTATTATTTATACATTCACATAGTAGATCATGCATACAGAGGCCAGAGAACAACCTGTGAGAGTTAATTCTCTGCATGTGGGTCCCTGGCATCAAACTCACATGGTGTGACTTGGTAGTCAGTGTCCTCATCTGCCAAGCCATCTCTTCCCACGCAACTTTTTCCCTTTCTTCTCCCTATCCCTGTTCTTTATTCTCTTTCACTCCTCTGATTCGTGCCCTCCCTTACTCACTTTCTTCCCATCAGGACCTGGGAGCGTCCTCTGCGTCCACTCTCAAGAGAAGTCATCGTGCGCTGGTTCAAGGAGGAACAGCTGCCTCGCCGAGCTGGCTTTGAGAGGAACACCAAGTCCATCGCTCCCTGGTTTCATGGTATTACCCTTTCTAGGCCCCATGGCAGGTGATGTTCGCATGTCCAACTCTTTCTCAGATGGAAGGAGTCTTGGATGGCTGTAATCGGGGGTGTGGAGGACTTTGGGGTCCACGCCGCCTCAATTCTGCCCCAGTATTTTTGAGTCCTTGAGTCCAGGATCACTGGGATTCTAGAAATGCATCCCCACTGCCTTCTGGGAAGGTGTGAACTTGAGTCCCATCCACTGCTGGCATCACTTAGTCTCCTTGGCTGTCAAGTCGCCCACAAGGTTCTGTCCTTGTACTCAAGGACAGTGAACCGCTGGGGTCCCTGACTGCTGGTGAGCAGGGTCATCATCTTGGTTGTACTTGATTCTGCGACTCTGTTCTTAGCCATAGCCACAGCAGGCTGCTGGCTCTGAAAAGAATCCTTTTTGGTTAGATTATAGATTGATGAACGAAGAGTTCAGCATCACTCAACTGCATTAGACCAGGAGGCTCTTTAGAAATCTTCCAATTCCTTCATTACAGAGGAGGAACGAAGGCTCAAAGACAGGAGGGAGTTTTCCAAAGATACTAGATGATGTGTGCAGTTAGCTCCAAAAATGAATCTCAAGGACCATAGCTTCAATCTAGTGATCTGAATACACAATGGCTTCAAGTAGGGCAACACACAGAACCGTGGCTTCACCAGAGACTTGCTAAAGAGAAGCTGGGGTTTGGTGTCTTTGCTGGTTGTTCAGAGGTGCTCTTGGCAGTCAGTGAAGAAGGTAAGTTGAGGTGATCAAATTCATCTCTTTTTGGAAAGGTCTTAGTGCTTTTTAATTTTTATTTTTGTGTACAAAGACTGGCATGGTCTCTTTCACTGGGTAGACTCTCTTGAATAATCCATTCAAGAATGGTCACTTGGTTCAACCTAATGAAGCCCATGCCATTTGCATATTGATGAAGACACTGCCGGTACATGCTCCGCAGTGACTCCCATAGAGCTACTGGCCACCCATGTTGCCTTCAGATTTCTAGCTAGGGAAAAAGAAATTTAGTTTTACTTTCTATTTCAATGGAGAAAAGAGTAAGCTCTATATTGTCACAGAACAAATAGAACCTAGATTTGTGTAATTGACTTCATGTTCTGCTGACAGTTTCTACCATAAAGCATGTAGGGACATTGTTAACACACGGAACAGAACTATTTAGTGACCAAGTTTTCATCCTGTGACAGAATGAAAGAAATGGCTCATATATGGAACATGGCCAACTGCCTTTGAAGGGCTATAGTTATATTCTAGGATTATGTTTCTTTTCACTTTTAGTGTTAAAATGCCCCATTTTTTATGAATGGATGGTGATAGCTAACAGTGGTTATTTTAATATATTGCCCTTTTGGGGAAAACCAGAGCATCAGCAGCCCAATTTTGGCTCCTGAGATGTGTGTGTGTGTGTGTGTGTGTGTGTGTGTGTGTGTGTGTGTGTGTGTAACTTTGTTCATTCTAAAATGTTGAAGTCAGGAAAAGCTGGAAGGTCCCAACTTCCTTCCCAACATGGAGATTTCCTGAAAGGCAGGAGGGACTTCTGTACCATTTTCTA